TGACACCCCTCACGCAGATCGGCGGGGTATCCAAAAACACACAAAGGATTTGCCACATTTCTAAAATTCGGTGGCGCCCCTCACGCAGATCGGCGGGGTCAGGGTCCAAAAACACAAGGGATTTGCCACATGCCTGAAATTCGGTTGCACCCCTCATGCAGATCGGCGAGGTCAGGGTCCAAAACACACAAGGAATTTGCCAAATGTCTAAACTTCGGTGGTACCCCTCCCGCAGATCGGCGGGTCAGGGTCCAAAAACATAAGGGATTTGCTACATTTCTGAAATTCGGTGGCACTCCTCACGCAGATCGGCGGGGTCAGGGTCCAAATACAAAACGAATTTGCTACATTTCTGAAATTCGGTGGCACCCTTCACGCAGATCGGCGGGGTCAGGGTCCAAAAGCACAAGGGATTTGCCACATTTCTGAAATTCGGTTGCACTCCTCACACAGATCGGCATGGTCAGGGTTCAAAAACATATGAGATTTGCCACATTTCTGAAATTCGGCGGCCCCCCTCACGCAGATCGGCGGGGTCAGGGTCCAAAAAACAAAAGGGATTTGCCGCATTTCTGAAATTCGGTGGCACCCCCCATGCGGATCGGCGGGGTCAGGGTTCAAAAACACAGGGGAATTGCCACATGTCTGAAATTCGGTGGCACCCCTCACGCAGATCGGCGGGGTCAGGGTCCAAAAGCACAAGGGATTTGCCACATTTCTGAAATTCGGTTGCACTCCTCACGCAGATCGGCATGGTCAGGGTTCAAAAACACATGAGATTTGCCACATTTCTGAAATTCGGCGGCCCCCCTCACGCAGATCGGCGGGGTCAGGGTTCAAAAACATAAGGGATTTGCAACACTTTTGAAATTCGGCGGCGCCCCTCATGCAGATCCGTAGGGTCAGGGTTCAAAAACACAGTCTGAAATTCGGTGGCACCCCTCACGCAGATCCGTAGGTTCAGGGTCGAAAAAAAAACAGGTCTCGACATTGCTTCACGGCGGCGCCCAGACCTCTTGATTTAGCTTTTGCATCTCCCATTATCCGAGACAGGGGGCCGGCGGCATGGGGCGAAGCCCTTACGGATAATCCAAATCTGCTATTTCGTTTATTATAAATTCACTTTTACATATACTTGGGGAATGCTCCAAAAATGCTTCGGAAAAGCCGCGATCCCTGTTGGAGGATAGCATCGTTTTCGCGATTTCCCCCATGCCTGCTTCGGCGCGCGCAACAATACACAGCGCCCTGCGCGCATGATGTTCGCAGATGCGCCAAGGCAGCTCCGAGACGCATCGACGCGACTCGGACGAATCCCATCCTCATAGCGAGGAGACCGGCGGCCAGGGGCGACGCCCCTACGGATAGATATGCACAGATGCAAAGACTCCCCCTATGCTCAACAGTTTCTGGATCTTCGTCTCCCCCTCCGCTTCCCATGTCTTCCGTTGTCTGTGTGTTTCTCTCTTCTGATCTCTGACAATGGAGGCCTCCTAGATGGGGTCCGAGTAGACGAGGTCGGAGGATCGCACCCCATCGGCGATGCATCGGCGATGCATCAGCGATGCATCGGCGCCGGCGGCGTGGCGAAAATCGGGCTCCGCATCGAGTCGCATCGCCGATGCATCGGCGATGCGACGCGGTCCTCCGACCCCATCTGCTCGGACCCCATCTGGGAGGCCCAGACACAAGAAGCACCGATCATTTGGGCCCCCCGGGAGGTCCTCTCGGCGCGCCCTGGGTGCCTCCTGGACCACAGCGCAGCTGCTCCAGCGCCCACCCTCCGCAGCCCTGCGCCGCACCGACGCCCCCCCCCCCCCCCCTGCACGGTTCCCCTGGGGCCGTAGGCGACCCCGAGGAGGGGAGGGCGAGGAGGAGGAGGAGGGCGGAGGAGGAGGAGGAGGAGGAGGAGGAGGAGGAGGAGGAGGAGGAGGAGGAGGAGGAGGAGGAGGAGGAGGAGGAGGAGGAGAGAGAGGAGAGGAGGAGGAGAGGAGAGAGGAGGAGAACGGGTCGCCTGAGCCCTTCGGAAAAACCCTCCCCCCCCCCGCGCGTGCGCGCGCTCGCGGGGGCGGCGGGACGGCGCCCCGGGCGGCGCGCGGCTGGGCGGGGGGGAACCGCCTCCTCCGAGGCTCCCGGCGGGGGGCGGGCACGCGGGTCCCGGGCAGGCTGTGCTGCCGGGCGGGAGGGGGGGAAGAGGGGGGGAGGAGCAGGCAGGCGACGACGGGCGGGCAGGCGGAAGAGGGGCCTGGCGGAGGGGGGCGGGGCGGGGCGGAGGGGCGAGGGGGGGGGAGATGGTCGTCGCAGAGCTTCCCCCGAGCGGGGTCAGAGGAGATGGGGGGCTGAGGTGGAGGGGGGGGGAGGGCGAGCAGGATGAGGAGGGGGGAGAGGGGAGGAGGACGAGCGAGGGGAGGAGGATGATAATGGATGGGACGGGAAGGAGGATGAGGGGGGAGTCTCGGTTTCCGTTTCAGAATCCTCCGAGGCTGCGTTCAAGGAACTCTGGCTCCGCTGCCTGTCTGCGGCGGCGGCTTTGAGCCTATTCGAGAGTCGTTTTTCCGGCAGAGAGGAGGAGGGGAAGGAATTGGGAAGGGGACGAGGAAGGGGTGGGAAAGGAAGGGCATGGGTCTGCTCCATCCTCTTTCCTCCCCATCCCTCTCCACATCCCGCTGATGTACTTCGTGTGTTCTCTTCTACTCCTCCCCCACCTTCCCTCTCCCTGTTCACTCTCCTTATCATTACCCAGACCTCCGACGCTTTGATTTCTTCGTGGCGTGGTCCCCCTGGAGCTCTCGACCCCTTCCTGGGGTGAGCCTTTGCCCTCTCCAGCAGATTTCTGACCCGGGTCTCAAACGAGGGACCGGCTTGCCGCCTCGAGCCGTCCGGGGCGCTGGAGGCCTGGGCTCTTCTCCCCGCACCCCCCCTTGCTTCCACTCCGCCGCGACCGCTGGCGGGGTCGGTGCCTTTCCTCGCCCGTCGAGGCCCTCCCGTCGCCCAGGCGCCGCCAGGACGCGCCCACCGCCACGCCGACTGTTCCTGGCACTGGAAGGCCGCGGCCCGCGACCGGCAGACGAGCCAACATTGTTCACCACGAAGTACAGCGACGCCAGGGATATCCAAAGAGAACTCCTCAAACAGGAAGCTCAGAGGTTGGCACCACCACCAATATTCTCGGTTGCCTCCAACGAGGGAAGATCATCCCGATCTCGGTGATAGTAGCAATAGTCGAGGTGTTTATGTGGCCGAACTATTACCACCACCGCCAACATCTAGGATCGTCTTCCCCAGATGCACCCAAGAGGCCCCTAAGGGGCCCCCGAGAGTCCCCTAATAGCCCTCCAAGAGGCCCCTGAGAGTAATTCCAGGAGACCCTCATATGCATCCACGAGGCTCCTGACTCACAGACCAGGCACGGTGCAACGACTCCTAACGAATTCACTGTAATGTGGGTGGGTGGAATGGGGTGACCAAGGCCGCGCTAACGGCGTGCTTGGTGAACGGTGCGGTTGGGAAGCCGTTTTCTTCGTGACACCGAGCTCACGCGAAACAAAATGTAGGAAATCACGAGAGGCCGTTTCCTACATGTCAAATCTGCAAATGTACCAAACGAAACCAACACAACGAGTTGTAGGAAAACACGAACCACGCGTTCCTACAAGTGGTTTGGCCACGAACCGCGCTTTCCTACAATTGGATGTCCTACTTCGCCGTCAGCTAACACGCCGTTAGCGCGTCTGCGGGATGAGCCTCTTGCATCTGGGCTCGTCTTCCCCTGGTAAAGACACCCCCCAGTGTTGGTGTTGGTGCCAATATCCGTGCCTCCGGTCGAGCACAGTATCGAGATCCACCTCACGTCTGCATCCGCCTGCGGGAGGGCCTCGGGGGACGCGACGCCGGGCCTCCTCTTCGGGCAGGTGTTCCTCGAGAAGCCGCCGGGCCCTGCGCCACAGGCCTTGCTACCCCGCCGCCGCGGCGGGCGACTCCGAGAGCAGGCTGGTGGCGGAGCTGCCGCTGGCGAGGCCGCACGGCAGCGCGCCCGTCCTGAGGGGGAGCGATCAGGGATTGGGGGGACCGGCTCTCCAGACCCCCGACGCCATGATTTTTTCATCATGTCGACCCCATGGAGGTCTCGAGCCATTCCCCTGGACCAGTTTCTCACCCCGAATCGTTTTTGTTACGGACTCGAGGCCGGTAAGGGCCCCCAGAGGCCGAAACTATCAACACACCTCCCATCGTGATTTTTTCGTTGCCCGAGAGGGACTGGCTCAGGGGGGGAGCCATCGGCCTGGAGCCGGCGATGCCTCGCCGACAGCTCGGCGCTAGGCCCCCGATGGGGCGAATCCGCATGTTTCTGGGCGGGGTGGCCACATCATGCCCAGGCACTACGGCAGCTACTGCGGCAACAGCCTATGCGATGCTGTGGGTCCACGGTCAGGCAGGGCTCAAAAATAATGAGTTCCCCTCCCTGCGCCGGCCGCAGGCCAGAGGGGGGGCGGGGTGGGCTTCTGGGCCCCGGTCGGCGATGAGTGGGAGGTGCTGGATCGGCCCATGTTCACCCTGAGCCTGAGGTCGGGCATGCCCTCCCACAGGCGGATTGTCGTGCAGAACTGAAACAGAGCCAACAAACAACAGGCACACGCAAACAATGCCAGAAGCATCGTCCCCAGACCATCTTTGCACTGTTCTGAGAGGTACTCCTCTTGTAGGGGGACAGGCCCGATGTGACCCTAGCGTCGCCCCAAAACCTTCGGGATATGGCACGGCTCTCAGGCGGCCGTTCGGGACGATTCTGGCACCCCCGAAACGCTCTCGACGAGGCGCAGCTTAGGGAAACCGCCCCTGGCCTTGGACATTGCAAGAAGAGCTCAGAACATCTTCGAAAACTTCCCCCCACTGCAGTCCAGCCCCCCCCCCAAAAACGTCGCCCCCGATGTCCTGAGGACGGCCCTCATCTCCGCGCCGTCCTGTGGAGGCCTCCCAGACAGGGTCGGAGCAGGTGGGGTCCGAGGATCTCGTTGCATCGCCGATGCATCGGCGACACGCGCGCGGCGAACATCGGGCTCCACAACGAACCTCATCGGCAATGCATCGGCGACGCGGCGCGGTCCTCCGACCCCATCGGCTCGGACCCCATCCACAGGCAACACTGATAGTAAGGATGAGCGAGTCTCGAAGGTTGCCCTTGCACCCTTTCCCTTCGACCCATCCTTGGCCACTTTTGCTGGCCGCGCCCCGCTCGAAAAAATGCCGACGTGGCCTTCCAAAGCCCCAAGCATCCGTATCGCACATCCTTGCTATCAAGGCTGACTCTAGGTCGGCGGACAGTCAGGGAGGGGGAATGAGAGGGAGCGGGCCTCCTCAGAAGGCTCCGAAGTTCCCCGGCCTTGGGAATAGCTTGTTGGAAGGCCTCCGGAGACACAGAACACTCCTCGGAGGGCCCGAGGACTTCCGAGAAGCCCCGCTGCCTTCTGCGAGGACCTTCTCCTTCTCTCTAGAAGAAGGAAAAAGGCCATAAGCAGAAACTTTCTGCGCCCCGCGCGGATTTCTTGGACCTGCGCTGGGCCCCCCTCCCTGGCGCGCGGAGCGCGCCAGGGGCGGCGCCGGAGGCGCCGCCAGGGGGGGGGGGCCCTGGCGCAGGTGCGCAGATCCAAGAAGCCCGCGCGGAGCGGCACCAGTTCACATGCCCATGGCGTCTGCTCTTCTTCAGCTCTCTCCCCCCCCCCCCCGCTCGACGCCGCTGCGGGAGGCCCAGATCCTCGCAGCGGCCGCGGGCCCACGCGGGCGCCCGGGACGCCGCCCACCAGAGGCCCACGGCGGGCAGCACCGCCGCGGCGGCCAGCGGCCACGGCGCCCAGCCCGCCGCGGGCCCCGCGCCCCGCGGCGGGGGCGCCTCCTCCGACCAGTAGCTGCCCTTGAGGTGGGCGTACAGCGCCTCCGCCTCCCAGGGCGTGTCCTTAGATGAGGGGGGCCCTGGGACACACAACAAGAATGCACACAAAAATAAAAGGATTCCACACATTTTCTAATATTTTCGGGGCTTTTGTCTTCCCCCCCATTTTCAATATTTTCCTATATTTTCTGGGGAGTCGACGATCAATTGTGTCTGTGTGTTTTTTTCTATGCTGATTATGAGACCTCCTGGATGAGGTCCGAGGGGATGGGGTCGGAGGATCGCGCCACATCGCCAGTGTCCATCGGCGGTGCATCCGCGATGCATCGGGGATGCGTCGCCGACGTTGGCGGTGCATCGGCGACGTCGGCGTGAAGCAAATGGGGCTCCGCACCGAGCCGCATCGGCGATGCATCAGCGATGGGGCGCGATCCGTCGACCCCGTCTACTCCGACCCCATGTAGGAGGCCTAGAGTCCTGGGATGGGGACAGGATCTCATAGGCACTCTTTCGTTGCTTTCCTCCGGGCGGCGGCCAGCGATGACTGCCCGTCGGTCGGAACAAGTAGGCAGAACCTTGAAGCAGGACGGCGCTGGAAGTCGATTGGGTTTCCGCCCGCTCCCCGAAGAGGCGGGGAGAAGGAAAACCACTCGACTCTTGAAGTGGGAAGGCGGCTGCACAGCTGATTGGGATCTGGGGATCCAGACATGCATCTTTTCGACATCCCCTGTGGCCTGCTTGGCCAACTGTATGAACATACTGATGCGGTTCCAAAAGGGACGCCAGCGAAAGGGACTTCTGAGACCGCGGCGTTGCGTTTGAGGCTTCGAGGCGCGCGAGTGGTGAAAGCGTCATGCGGCGACCTTGTGGGCGAAGCCGAGCAGACTTGAGAAATCGGCATCGCCCGTCTCAAAAGTCCCTCTCCCTGGGGTCCCTTTTGGAACCACATGACACACAGCAGAAACAACAACAAAACCTTCGACGACAGATCGGGGCCGCAGCCGTGCACCTGGCCGCGGGCTCGGCGCGCGCGCAGGTCGGTCGGGCAGCACTGGGCCACTGCAGGGCAAGCTCGTGCTAGGTTGGGCATGTCCCCCTACAAGCGGATATTTGACAACACAATTAAAGCGAATGAAATAATATCCAGAAAATACGCAACCATACTCAGACAATCGTCCCCCGACTATCTGTTGATTATTTTTGGATATTCCTCCTGTCGAGGGACACGCCCGACTTACAGCTAGTGCGCGGCACGAGAAGCGGAGAAGGGAATGTGCAGGGCGGCCACGCAGGGAAGGAGGGGGGGATCGATACAACCCCTCCCCCCCCCGCACACACACACAAACACACACACACACACACACACGCGCACACACACACACACACGCACACGCACACGCACACGCACACGCACGCACACGCACACGCACACGCACACGCACACGCACACGCACACGCACACGCACACGCACACGCACACGCACACGCACACGCACACGCACACGCACACGCACACGCACACGCACACGCACACGCACACGCACACGCACACGCACACGCACACGCACACGCACACGCACACGCACACGCACACGCACACGCACACGCACACGCACACGCACACGCACACGCACACGCACACGCACACGCACACGCACACGCACACGCACACGCACACGCACACGCACACGCACACGCACACGCACACGCACACGCACACGCACACGCACACGCACACGCACACGCACACGCACACGCACACGCACACGCACACGCACACGCACACGCACACGCACACGCACACGCACACGCACACGCACACGCACGCACACGCACACGCACGCGCACGCGACACGCACACGCACACGCACACGCACACGCACACGCACACGCACACGCACACGCACACGCACACGCACACGCACACGCACACGCACACGCACACGCACACGCACACGCACTCGCACGCGCACGCGCACGCGCACGC